GGGATTACAATTGAGATGGAAAAAAAAATGTACAAAATAATGTAAAAATAAACTTCTGTAAAAAAACAAAAAGACTGATGTGAGCGAATACAGACTGGATGGTATATGAGTCTAAATTGATATTTGATTACTATTATGCATATACATATATATTTTTTTCATTTTTAACTTGGAAATGCTTTTCAGAACATATAAAGTATTTGCAAATTGCATTTTAATTAAACCTTGAAACAATTGATTTTAATGTAGAGATTGGACTTCTATTAGATAATAAAGCTAAACTTGAGACAATACAAAAAAAAAAGATGTTAATGAGGGGTATATCGTGTAGTGTTTCCCCCACCTTTGATTCCAAATATTTTGTGGTTTCGTGTCTTATGCCTAGGTCTTTATTCCAGTTTGAGTTGGTTTTTGTGCATGGTGCTAGGTAGTGAACTAGCTTCATTTTTTTTGCATATAGCAGCATTGTTTCCCCTGCACCATATGTTGAACAAATTTTCTTTGTTCCATTGCATATTCTTTGCTCCTTTGTCAAAGATTAGCTGTCCATAAACTTGTGCGTTTATATCTGGGTTTTCTATTCCTTTCCATTGGTCTGCATGTCTGTTCTTGTTCTAGTACCATGCAGTTTTGATTACTATGGCTTTGTAGTATAGCTTGAAGTCTGGGAGTGTGAACTTTCTGTTCTCTCTCATTTTAGTCAGGAGATTTTTGGCTATTCAAGGTTTTTTTGTGGTTCTATATAAATCTCATTAATATTTATTCTATTTCTTTGAAAAATGTCATTGAGACTTTTATTGGGATGGCATTAAATTTGTCTATCACTTTTGGTAGGATGGCCATTTTTCATTTTTTTTAAAGATTTATTTATTGATACAGAACTGGGGTACAAGCCAGAGATGTGGAGGGTGAGAGGATTCACCAGGGACAGAGTGGGGAGAAGAACAGGCAGATCGACGAAGCACACTGCTGAGGGGAGCAGCGGGTCAGGAGAGGTCTGCCGCGCCATGTGGATCTCCTCCAGGGCAGGCTGGAATCGAACTCATGTGGAAGTGGCTTAAGCTTCTTAGTGCAGTGCTTTAACCCTCTGCACCACCAGGGAGGGCCAGGATGACCATTTCGATGATGTTAATTCTCCTAATTCATAAGCAGAAGATGTCGTTCCATTTCTTTGTGTCCTCTTGTATTTCTTTTAACTGTTTTATGATTTTTCTTTGTATAGGTCTTTTACCTCTTTTGTTAAATTCATTCCCAGGTATTTGATTCTTTTTGCTTCAGTTGTAAAGGGGATATTTTTCCCCTCTTTTTCTGATTGGTTGTTTGTGTAGAGGAAAGCCATTGACTTTTGTGTGTTGATTTTATATCCTGCTCCCTTACTAAAATGGCTAATTGTTTTGATTAGTTTCTCTATGGAATTTTTAGGTTTTCCCATGTAGATTATCATATCATCTGCAAATAAAGATAGTTTTACTTATTCTCTCCCTTTTTGGATTCCTTTTATCTTTTTTATGTATTATTGTTCTGACCAGAACTCCCAATATTATGTTAAAGAGCATTGGCTATAGTGGACTTCCTGGTCTTTTTCCGATCGTAAAGGAAAAGATATATGTTATCGTTAGAGCCTTAGCTAGTTTTCATTTTGAAATTTGAAAACATATGCCTTCCTACCAACCTCTCCCAATTTCCCCAAACTTTTAAGGTCCTGGAAGCCACCATTTCATTCTTTGTTTCTATGAGCTTAATTTTTTTAATTATTTTTTTTCTTTTAAAGATTTATTTATTCATTTGTGCATACAAAACTAGGGTACAGGCCAGAGGTGCAGGAGCGGTAAGAGGCTTCACCAGAGACAGAGTGGGGAGCAGAACAGGCAGATCAATGAAGTACACTGCTGAAGGGAGCATTGGGCGGGTCAAAAGTGGTCTGCTGTGCCATGTGGATCACCTTCGGGGCAGGTGGGAATCGAACTCATGCGGAAGTGACTTTTGATTGTTAGTGCTGTGCTTTAACCTGCTGCACAACCAGAGAGGGCTGAACTTTTTTTTTAAGATATCATATAGCAGTGATAACCAGGTTGCATTTGTCTTTCTTTTCCTCACTTGTTTCATTTAGCATGTCTTCCAGGTTCATCTGTATTGTTACAAATAGCAGGAATCCCTTCTTTTATTTTATTAAATTTGTTTTTTATTGAGGTAAAATTGCTTTGCATCATTGTTTGTATTTTAGAAGTATAGGTTAATTCCTTTCAAGTGTTAGAAATGTTTTCTTTCATTCTTTACAGTTTGCCTTTAAATTTTTCAGTACTTTCTATGAAATTTCTAGAGTGTGGGATGAAGAGAAAATAATGATTGTCACTTTCTCATGAACTACTAATCAAAAACTGATCTAATAATGCCACTTAGCACTTAGTTACAAAGTTTTGTGTTGTACTTACCTAAAAAGGAAACTAGTACCAATAACACCACTTAGTTTGCTTCTTTCTATAGGTGACTTGGGGAAATTATGGTTAAAAATAGAAACATATTTGTGATATTTTCCTTACTTTTTAAACTTCAGGTACAAAATTACACTGATGCTCTACACTGGTACTGTTATTCTCTGAGGATTTATACAATTGAAGAAATGGATCTGAATTTGGCCAAGTTGCAGAGGAACATGGCATCCTGTTATTTACATTTGAAACAACTTGATAAGGTTCACTGATTTATCTATTTTTTATTAATCCCCTTTTTATTTATTTATTATTATTATTTTATATATTTTTTACATAATTATATTCATTTTTATACAATGTATGCTTTCTCATCTCTGGTATAGTCTTCTTGGACTATACCTACCCCATGGAATTTGCACCACCATCAATCATGTACAGTCACCATAATCCCTTGTCCCCAACCTCAACCTTCCATTTTGATTCTACTCCTTCCTTTCTCCATGAAAAATGTCTCTTGTTTACAGTTGCCTGTTGATTTTGAATTTTAGTTTATTATCCTTCTATAAGTGAAACCATCCAATTTTTTTTTCTGGTTTATTTCACTGAGCATGATCCCTCCCAGCTCCATCCATGTTTCTGCAAATGGCATGACTTTAGCTTTTTTTTATTGCTGAGTAATCTTCCATTGTATATATATACCACCAATTGTTGACCCAGTCATATGTTTTGGGGCATTTGGGTGTTTCCATAGCTCACCGATTGTAAATAGTGCTGCAATTAAATACAGGGGTGCCGGTTTCCTTATGAATTAATGTTTTTGTGTCCTTTGGACACATCCCTAGCAATGAAATTGCTGGATTATATGGAAGTTCCATATTTAGCAGTTGAGCTTTTCATAGTAGTTGGACCAATTTCCATTCCCACCAGCAGTGTAGGAGAGTATCCTTTTTTCCACATCCTGGCCAACATTTGTTGTTGCTAGTTTTTTGTTGTTGGTTTTTAATACATGCCATTCTCACTTGTGTAAGGTGGTATCTCATTTTGGTTTTGAATAGAATTTCCCTGATGACAAGTGATGTTGAGCATTTTTTCCAGTGCCTGTTGGCCATTTTCATTTCCTCTTTAACAAAGTGTCTTTTTAACTCTTATGCACATTTTTGACTGGTTTGTTTGATTTTGTTGAGTTTCATCAGCTCTTTGTAGATTTTTGTAATCAGTCCCTTATCATTATTAGTATTGTTTGAAAAAAGTTTCTCCCAATCAGTTGAGTCTCTTTTTGTTTTGGTTACTGTCTCTTTTGCTGTACAGAAGCTCTTTAATTTGACATAGTCCCAGCTGTTATCTTTTCCTTGACTATTTTTGCTTTGTAGGGATGTATCTTTGAAGATATTAGTGAGGTGTATGTTATATAGAATTTCACCTATATTTTCTTCCATTTTAAGTTTTCAGGTCTTATGTCTAATTCTTTAATCCATTTTGAGTTGGTTTTATTTCATGGTATGAGGGAGTAGTCTAGCTTCATTCTTTTTCATGTAGCATTCCAGTTTCCCCAGCAACATTCATTGAGCAAACATTCTTTGTTACATTGCATATTTGTTGCTCATTTGTCAGTGATTAGTTGTCTATAAATCTATGGGTTTATTTCTGAGTTTTCTATGTTTTTCAATTGGTCTGTTTTTGTTCCAGTATCATGCAGTTTTATTTTAAAAGATTTATTTTTTATTTTATGCATACAGAACTGGGGTATAGGCCAGAGGTACAGGGAAGGTGAGAGGATTCACCAAAACAGAGAGCAGAACAAGCAGACTGAGGAAGTATACTGCTGAGGAGAGCAGTGGACCAGAGAGGAGAGGTTTGCTGCACCATGTGGGTCATGTCTGGGGCCAGGGATTGAACTCACACTGAAGCAACTGTTGCTAGCTTGCAGTGCTGCATCCTAACCAGTTGTGCCACCAGGGAGGGCCCTTTGCAGTTTTAATTATTGTGGCTTTATAGTACAATTTGAAGTCTGGGAGCATGATACCTCTATTCCCCTTCTTTTTTAGTCAGGAGAGCCTTGGTCATTTTGGGTTTTTGTGGCTCCCTCTGAATTTCAAGTTATTTGTTCTGTTTTTTTGAAGAATGCCATTGAGATTTTTATTAGAATAGTATTGAATCTATAAATTGCTTTTGGTTGATGTGCATTTTGATAATGTTATTTCTTCCAGTCCATGAGCTGGGCATGTGTTTCATTTCTTTCCCTCTTCTATTTCTTCTTTTTTCTAAGATTTTAATTTTTTTTTACATTATTCTTCACTTTTGTGCATTTTTCATTTCAGTTGTAATCCCCTTGGGCTTCCCACCAACAGTTCACCTGTGTGCCATCACCAATAGTACTGTGCACTCTTTCCACCCCAGTTTTGAGCCCATTCTCCTTTCTACCTCCATAAAATAGCTCTAGTTTATAGTTTTTTGTTGTTTTCATTTTTACTTTATTATATGTGTTTCTTTCTTTCTCTCTCTTTCTCTCTCTTTTTTTTTTTTTTTTGGTGACCCCTTACACTCCTGCTGTGAGTGAAACCATCCAGTATTTTTCTTTTTCTTTCTGGCTTATTTCACTAGACATGCCTTCTGTTTCTTTTCACAATGTTTAATAATTTTTTTTTTGTATAGGTCTTATACCTCTTTTGTTAGGTTTTATCCCATGTATTTGATTTTTTGTTTCAATTGTAAGAAGGATGATTTCCTTGATATCTACTTAAGACTTATTTTTTTTAAAGATTTATTTATTTGTTTGTGCATACAGAACTGGGGACCAGGTCAGAGAGGGGGAGGGTTAGAGGCTTCACCAGAGACAGAGTGGGGAGCAGAACAGGCAGATTGACGAAGTACACTGCTGAGGGAAGCAGCGGGCGGGTCAGGAGAGGTCTGGCTCGCCATGTGGTCTCCTCCGGGGCAGGCGGCAGGCGGGGATCGAACTCATGCGGAAGTGGCCTCAGATTCTCAGTGCTGTGCTCTAACCCGCTGGGCCACCAGGGAGGGCCCAAGACTTATTTTTTTGCATATATGAAAGATATTTATTTTTGTGTGTTGATTTTGTCTCCTGCTACTTTAGTAAACTGGTTGATCATTTTGATTAGTTTTTCTGTGGAGTTTTTGGGTTTCTCTGTGTATATTATTATATCACCTGCAAATAGTGATAGTTTTATTTCTTAATCTATTTGAATTCCTTGTATGTCTTTTTCTTGTCTAATTGCTCTGGCTAGGGCTTCCAGTATTATACTGAAAAGCTGTGGTGAGAGTGGTCCTCCTTGTCTTGTTTCAGATTTCAGGAGCAAGGCTTTCAGCTTTTCACCATTGAAGATGATAGTGGCTATGGGCTTGTCATATATGACCTTTATTATGTTAAGGTATGTTCTTTCTATCCCGAGAATTTTGAGGGTTTTTATCATAAATGGATGTTGAACTTCATTGAATGCTTTCTCAGCATCAGTTTTATGATCATATAGTTTTGTTTTTTTTTTTTAAGCGGAGGGTTAGTTATAATGAAATCCTGGCATTTCTGTTTGTCTGGAAGATACTTATTTTTCCTTCATAGGGGAAGAGAGTTTTGCAGCATGAAGTATTTTTGGTAGGCATTTGTTGACTTGGAGTTTGTTGAATATGTCCCTCCACTCTCTTTTCTCTAGCGTTATTTCAGATAAATCTGATGTCAGCCTGATTGGCGTTTATAGGTTTAACTTCTTCCCTCTTTTCACTTCGTTGTTTTTGCTTTTCTTAGATTCTTGGGAGCTTTACTATTTTTCATGTGTCTTTCTGCATTTTGCTTTAATCGTGGAAGTTTTGTGTTCTCAATTCTTTCATGTCTATTTTCATTTGCTTCTTCATTCTTGGGAAGTTCTCTCTGATTAGCTCCTTGAATATTTTCTTTGTTCCTATGTCTCTCTCTTCTTTTGGTATTCCAGTATCTCTTACATTTCCTTTCATCATGGAGTCAATAGTTCTTGAAGTATTTCTTTATTCTTTTTCCTTCATATTTCTTTCTTTTCCATTTTGGTCTTTTTATTTCTGTATTTTTGAGAGTACTGATTCATTCTTTCATGTCATCTATTCTGTTTCTATTGCTTTTCCCAGAGTTCTGTAGCTCTTCTATTATTCTTTGAATCTCCTGTTTTTCTTTCACCTCCCTATTTAGGAACTCACTATCATTGTTGTGATTGTTGATTATTTCCCTCATATATCATTCCTTTCCTTTTCATCTTCTTTCTGTTTTGTTTTTTTGTTTGTTTGTTTGTTTTAATCTTAGAGATTTTAAATTCTCTATCTGGTAGGTCATTGTTGTTGGGTTCTGGTGGTTGGTTCTTCCTGTGGTTGAGGGCTTGCTTGGTTGTTGGTATTTTTTCTTCTCCCTGTTATTTATTTTCTAATTTGTCCCATGTGTTAGGAGACTGTGCCACTGGTACTGGTAAGCATCTCTTCAAGGTGCTCCTTCCAGGATGGTGGGAACTTGTATTCAGATCAAGTCTAACACTATTGTGCCCAAACTCCACAAGATTAGCTATGTTGTAGGTATTTTGGTAGGTGTTGCACCTGATGACCTCTTTCCTCTGTATTTACTCAGTTTTAGGAGTGGAGAGTATATGGAGTCCCTAGCTTCCAGCAAAGGTGCAGAGGCTGTGCACTCCTGGTGTACTTGCTATGTACTCTAAATATTGGCAGTGTCAACATATCTTACCCCACTGGATTAACCCTAGCTTTGGGTCTTCAGAAGCCCTGATCCACTTGTGTACATCACCCTGTGATCCCTGCTAGATTGTGGGATCCTCCCTCTCTCAGTTCCAAAGCTGGGGTGGTGCAGTCTTTGGCTTCCAGCAAATGCACTGTGGTAGGACATTGCACTCTTGCTATTAGCAAAATAACCTGCCAGCATATCTCATCCAGCTGGGTATGCTGCAGATCCTGCTACAGATCCCAGGTGTGGGATCTGCAGAATCCTCACTCTGCTCTACGCACACCATACCACTGGCTCCTGCATGTTTGTGTAGCTTTCCCTTTCTTAGTTCCACAAGTGGGGAGTGATACATCATTGGGGGTAGGGTGTGGTTGCTAGTTTCCAGTGGTAGCATTGCCTTGGGGCTGTGCACTCCCACTGTCAGCCAGACAACCTGCTGATGTATCCCATCCCAGCCTGCTCAGGAGTCCAGAAACCAAGCTTGGGGTCTTCAAAAGCCTTGCTTTGCTTTGTGCACAAATCCTGCTGGCTCCACACCTGTTCATGGAG